GCCGGCTCGCCGGCTCTCATGACACGTCATGTAGTGGTAGAAAATGACTTAATTAACACAGTCAAATTCAAATTATTATTTGTAGTTGTTACATAATTGTATCATTATCACCTTTTTTAAAGATCTTATTATACGGAAATTGTGCTTACGTCAAACTTGTCAGATATAATCTCACATTTTCGCATCGTTACCGTGTTTGTAATTTTTTACTTACAAATAATATTTAAAATACAACCTGTAAATATGTTAATGACCTGTTTCCATATACAAATTTGCGTACCTGTTGATACCTTCCATGGCTCACTAGTTATCGCTGTTAAACTGAATTTTTTTTTGCACGGTTTCATGCGAAGAGGCAGTGCAACCACTCCATAAAAGCGTTCGGCAATAGACTATCTAAGGACCTAGATCCATGTTACTATTAGAGTAAAGTCAAAATGTGTCCATCCGGCTTAGATATAAAAATTTATTTAGTTAGGAAACTAAAAACGGACTGTTTGTTTTGACTCTGCTTTTTCTCTCTTGTTGTGTTTCTCCCAGGAATGATGCTGCCATAAAGAAGAGCGTAGGGAATCGGGGAAACAAGCGGAACGCCCAGAATAATGCGCTGGACAATTCCTGTTCCAGGTCGGTATCCTGATAATCTTATTACCTAACGATTCCCTGCATGTCTAACTGCTCGCACTTTCAACAGTACGTATTGCAAGGATATCACAGCATTACAAATATGTAAAATAAGTCTTCATGTTACGTTCAGTGGAGCTAGTAGAGAGTCAAAGATATTTTAAAAACTGTTTTTTGTACGCCGCATTTGTAATAATTCATTAATCAGAGTTAGGAAATGTGAAGGTTCTGTTATTTGTAATTTTAATATTCATCTAGACGTTAAAAAATGCCAAATTATTAGGGATAAAATAAATACTAAATATTGTAAAATATGAGGTTCACGTTCCAAATCTTGAAGAAAGGGGCGAGTGTAGTAGAATGAAATCTGTTGTAAAGTTGGCTACATAAAATTCATCTACACAGTCCTTCCAATTCACAAAAACCTAAAGCAAGTGGATCTTCCTTTAACAACTCCTTTCCATCAAGGAAGTTCAAGAGAGAGAAAAAACATTGGAATAAATTTATTACGTTTATTTCTTCTTAATAAGTGATGAAGTGAAGGTCACAGAAGACATGTTACAATTCTCTGAAGTCAATAGTCTATATTTGGCGTAAGAAGGACTTAGGCCTACGTGTCTTGTTAATGTCTAGTGAACGAAGTTCAAGACAAAATTATAATTAGACGGTAACTGGAAATATATCTTTTAACAAAAGTGGTAGTTGGAAACTTTATTGGTATATTAAGAAATATTAAATAAAGGTCAGGGTAATATGAAGATGTGTTCTCTATTTTACATTTCATAATAACCTCAAACAACAAGGGCTAAACTAAATAAAAAATAGCAGAATTTTAGGTTCACACGGCGGTGAGTAGGAAGATGGCTGTCTTCTGGGTTTGTAGCGTCATGTAGTCTGGTAGAGTTTACCAACGTTCCAGAGGTCCTTAATGCCTCTATCATCAGGGCGATGAGTGAGCAAGGACCTCAGTGGTAAACTTCTACCAGACTATACGGTGCAATATCCCAGTAGACAGCCGTCTATACTCGTCGTAACGAGGATCTCAAATCTCACCTAATTATCATATTTCAATGCCTACTGCAAAATACTCTTTCTGCAATCTATTCAGAACCTTCTGTTTCCGTTGAGTGTCTTTTTTCGCAGTTTCTCGTCTTCTATGCTTACAATTATTTTGGAAAGGAGTGCGTAAAAAACTCAAGAGGGAAATAATAATAAAACTAAATTCCAAATCCTCGTGGAATAAAATTTACCCTAAATTTGGGCATTGTTTCTAGCGACAATCAACTGAATTTGTGACGGGGGATGCACACGATATATAGATATTTTAGCTTAATATCGATATATTTGAATCGATACTCACTAGTCGATATATCAGATATATCTACATTCAGATACGATATGTCCCAAAACCGGCATCTTTAATTTTTATGAAATAGTTCAAGTTCTTTATTTCGTGACAAAAATAATATCACACACATTTTAGTAATGATCTGTATTTACATTTAGTATATCTGAACAGTTTCTTTTGTATGAAATTTTTAGTTTTTCGTTAAAGAACATTCTTTTCATCGATATTTTCGATATTTTAGCTGGTGTATATAGAATATCGATATTTCGTCAACGATATGCCGATAAATGGCATATTGATCATAAACAGACTGAGTACATCACTGTGACCTATGATATAATGTAGCGTGAAGGAGTAAGTTATTCTTATGTAAGAAGTGGCTCTAGTGTTGGCTAGCGTCCAGTCACAGGTTCGATTCAAGTCGTCAGTCGAGTGTGCTTCCATCTACACGGAAGCTGAAACAACCGCTAAAAATAGGAACGACAATCTAAAACGAAGTTCTGTTCCAATTTTCACCGACCATATGACACTCGTGTGCACTTCTATACAAGAACAGCTGACAGGAGCAAGTTTCGAGAACAAAGAGTTCAGCTACGTCTCTTGCTGAACGTGAAGTGAACAAGAGAAACAATAGTGAACGAAACGTGTTCGCCGAATCGGAGTAGCCTAAACACATTTTTCGAAAACGTTATCTGTGATTTGGTATGCCACACTGGCTTAGATTTTCATTTATTTCAGGTACAAATGTAGGTTAATGTCGCAAAGATTATCACGCTATATACAACAATGCCTAAGAGTAGAAAATTCTCATTGCGTTCGTTAGATATAAATATGCTTAAAATAAATGTTGCGGGTATTTAATGAGGTGTGTTTTGCAGGCTAATCGATTAAGTATTCGTAGCGACGAATCCCCGGGGATCTGCTGCCCGAGGCTTAGTTAACTCCATGTGTAAACCGACTTCTTTAAATATTTCACTGTCTCGGTGGCTCCACTGTCCCGGAAAATTTTACTGCAGTATTACAGCTTCACATATCAAATTTCCGACTTCCTTATTTGTATAGGACGAAGTAAAAGTGAAAGCATATTACTTGGATTGAAGGACAGCATTTCCAGCAGTAATGAGAAAAAAACAGCTAATCCTAAAACTAACATCGTTATCCGAGATTAAACGCATCACAAGTCCAATTTAAAATTTTCAGCTTTAAGAAATTTAAAAAATAAATAAATACAGCTATTCAGGACTACAATATTAAAATTATATTTTAAAACATGTAGCATACTTGACACTGAACACTTGCTGTTCTACATCAAAACTCAATCCATCAGAATTGTTGTCTTGTTCAAAACAGGCTAATATTAAAATAGACAGTAAATTTTTAAGGCATTAAATTATCCAAAGTACTTTGTATAACACAACATACTATGTAATAATATGTTATTAGAGCTATAACATATTATTACTAGTGTTGTTTTTATTACCCTAATTATGATAAGATCTGGGGATAACTTATGGCTTCTTTCCTTTATACGGTTATATCAAGTTGGGCAAGCCATACTAAGATAATAAATCACGAATGTTTTAATCGTTAACTATCTTTTCACAGTAAGTAGGACTTGAGAATATATTTTACCTAGAATATAATTATCTCGCCAAGTTAATACTTCCAAGGTTCAAAGCACTTTCATAGTCCCTAATTAATTCTGCTTTTTGTGCACGTGGACTATGTTTCTGTGTGCCAGTATAGTGTAAGTAGTCTTTTCCTCTGACACTTCGAAGATCCTAATGCTTTTACATTCAAGGCAAAGTAACTACAGTGTATCCAGTATATGTACAGTGCGGAAATAAACATAGACGAGAAACAAGGGCATGCGCGGTTCACAATCACACAACGGCAAGCTGCATTACGTGCAAAATTCGATGTGTCCAGCCAGACAAGCGTTGTTAATAAGCTAGATGAGTTTAGCGCTCGACGCGAGCGCCTGGTCGGAGCTGACATTTAATGTGACATTTCCTGCTGTGCTCCAATCTATGGAGTACCACTGAACCACGAGAGTAAGACAGAAGACTTTTACTTTTTCGTTTTTAAAAGTGTTAGGTGGGCTAACATGGTTACCATGGTAGCTTCCAATAGTCGTAATTTTCGCACTTGGTTCAAACTTGATACTGGAGGGGCACCAATGCACCAAATTTATGATGCAATGAGTCTCACTTTCCTTATTAAATACGTAGAATAGGATAAAAATGCAGATAGGGCGATATTTATGCCGTCCGTCAGATACTTACTATCAGCTCTCTAAATGTAGCTAATACGTATTTTAGCAGAATGACAGGGGGCAAAAATAAGTCTCTTGAGTCTATTTAGGTTTAGCTGACAAAGACAGAAATGGGCGAAAAGAAACACCTCTCCAGTAATAAAATTCAGTTTAGATATACTCGATTAAAATAGTATGATTTTTTTTAAATCGTGATAATGGTCTAGAGAAACATCGTATTATTGTGATTAGATTTTCAACGTGTACTTAAGTTTCCGAATGCTTTTATTGCAGACAGAAACCTATTTTCCACACAGGCAATCAAGAGTAGAGCAGTAATGGTAGTTTCTTTGCATGCTGTGAAATAAATTCCATGTTGTTTATTATTTTGTGTAAAATTCGTATATCTCACCAGATGTGTTTTATACAATGTACTTATTTCTTGGTTATCATAAGCCGTTTTCACGAAATAAAAAAGTTGTAGTTTAGATTTATGTAAAGTAGATAATATAATATAAGCGGCCAATACGGAACAAGTTACATTCGACGGACAACTTACAACTTTGACTTTCCGTATTAAATTTAATCTAAATGCGTTATGTGATTTCCGAAATAAAGTTTGCGGTCAGACAGGCCGACGGACGTAACCTGATCATTATTTCACTTAATAACATTTTCATTTAAGTAAATTAAAATCCGATGATCAGCAACAGAACACATAGACAGGCAGACGGAAAGACAGATCGATGGCTACCGTATTCTTTTTTCCCATAACATAAAATAACGTGCTCAAATCTAATCGATGAAGGAAGCCATCTAGTTAATTACATACTTGTACAGTCGTAAGCGACAGATAGACCTTCAATAGTTATTAAATTCGCACAAATCTTACTTGACCTAGGCTCAAGTGTAACGTTCGAATTTCGGAGTGTTATTTTTAATTGGACGTACAAGAGGGCAGTGCTAGAAGCTGGCGCTGTACCATCAAAATGACGTAATTCTTGTCTGCATGCTCAGTTGTCTTCCTTAGTGCGGAAAAAGTGGACGTCTGTGGTTCCAGTAGTGAAATTACATGTGACAAATGACTGATCTCACAAGCAGGAGAAAGTCATCACAAACAATTCATAACCGAGATGTCAAACACGAAATAGAACTGTACACACTTCATACGTTCTCTTTATTATCGATATGGTGCCACGAATACAAAGAATTCTTTTCGATTGTTTCTTTGTGTCATATGAAAGTACCAGCTGATTTAGTTTTTACTCTGAATACCATCGATAACTATTTTAAGATCAAATGTCGCGTTTCTATCATTGTCAAAACAGCCAGTGTCACAGTGCAAGAATTTGTTTAAAGTTGAATTTAGTTTGTTATAATGAAATCAAAGAATGATTTTGT